CACGCCTCCCACCCCAGGCAGCCCTGCAGCATCAGCTGGGGGTGTGTGCTGGGTGGGGTCCCCTGTCAGCAGGTACCAAACAGCTCTGGGGATCCTTCCTGCCAGAGCCACCAGCACTGCACATCAAAGCCAAGCGTGACTCACCAAACCTCAGGCCTCCACAGCATCGCCTGCATAAATCCTGGGCCTATTTTTACATAAAAAGCAGCTCTTTCCAAAGCTATTCAAATGCCAGAAATAAGAGATTATTATGACTTCATGTCATGTTGAAAGACAGGTGGAGGAGAGCACAATGTTTGTGTTGGATTCAAATGTCTGCTGAAATCATTCCTGTCATTCCTAATTGATGTTGCATCTGTCTTTAGATTGGGACTATTGAGGGGTAAAAAAAAGCTGAAGATCTTATTCAGAGAAATAATTACAGTTATGTGCTGGTAGATGTAAAATTAAAGTATGTGGGGGGGAGGGAACTACATCCTATAATTTATCAAATTCCTACATCCCTGAAAAATAATTAGATGCTGGGCACTGCTGCAGAGGCTACTGTCAGGGGGATAGCAGTGGTCAAAACCAGGCCACTGGTTCTCATTTATTCCATCCATTTTTGCTCTTTTATTGTGTTTGGAGTATTAGTTTCCAACTATCCAGAGACACAGCAGAGAAACAATGGCAGCTTTATTAAGAGCCAGAGACGTAATCCCCAAGCACGAGTGCAATTGCAGAACCTGGAGAGGGAAAAAAGGGAGTTCTGCTTATGTCTGGCTTTCAGGAATTTTACCCTCCAAAGTCCTTCAGCATGATGTAGTTATGGGCAGCACTAAATCTGCATCACTTTGACAAACTTGAAGCCACTGAAGATTATTAACGAAGCAGCCTGTGAAGGAGCTCTTCAATGGGTGCCTCACATCCCAGTTGTATGGCTTGGGGGGTTTTTCCTCTTCTTTTTCTTGCTCCTTTTCCTGATGCTTGTGTGGATGTTGGATTAATCCATCACAGTTGATTTGTAAATTTGAGTACAAGGATTGACTTCATCTGGTCAAGCTTGAAACTGCTCCATGTAAGACAGACACAGGTTTCCATCAACAGCTTCCCACTGCCAGAGGGCAGGGTTAGATGGGATATTGGGGAGGAATTGTTCCCTGGGAGGATGGGGAGGCCCTGGCACAGGTGCCCAGAGCAGCTGTGGCTGCCCCTGGATCCCTGGAAGTGCCCAAGGCCAGGCTGGACAGGGCTTGGAGCAGCCTGGGACAGTGGGAGGTGTCCCTGCCATGGCAGGGGGTGGGACAGATGAGCTTTATGGTCCCTTCCAACCCAAACCATTCTGAGATTCTGGGATTCTCTTCCTCCTCTACCTCTCTCCCTGCTGCTTTCCTTAATCAGGATTGTCTGCAGCTCCATGTTGGAAGATCCCTGCCCAACCAAATGGCTTCACCTCTGGGGAGCTTGGGCTGAGTTACCCCACATACTCCCCATGTCCCAGCCAGCAGCTGCTTGGACACCTGGTAGGAAATTGTCCTGGAGGGGCAGGAGTTTGGAGCAGCTGTCCTGTGAGGCTGTCCCTTGGAACAGTGCAGTTGTGACTGCTCTGGTGGGCTGAGTTGAGCCCAGTTTGTGTTTTCCACAGTAATTCAGGCCCTCAGGGCTGGTTATCCTCCCCATCATGTGTGCAAAGGAGGTCGGTGTGAGGAAAAGGGAGTGAAGGCACTCCTGGGACTGTCAGCTGAATGCCATGTACAGAGCAGTCCAGAGGGAATCCCACTGGAAAGCAGCCAGTGCTTGCAGGAATCCAATACCCCAAATCCCTGTTGGGCCATGGGGAGTTTGTGGCTGCTGTTTCACAGACTGAATTAAAGCCACAGTGGGCTCTGCTCTTACCTGGGCTCTGCCTTACTGCAAAAGTGCAGATCTTTTACCTATGTCCAGTGGGTAACTACAGTTTTATAAGTTTTGTGGATTTCATTTACAATTCACCCCCAGAACATTGTTTAAAAAGGTCTTGGAAGTGTAATTTTATACCAGTGTCTGGAATTGTGAACCACAGCCTCGGGCTGGCAGATAATTCCCTGGTATCCAGGCAATAGAGTTTATGTATAGAACTGCTTCCTGCAGCTTCAAGGACTTCTGATAGTTGTCTTTCTAATTTCTACACCATGCATGTGAAACCAGGACTTTGTTCATAAATTAGGAATCTGTGGTTGTAACGCAAGGTAGTACAGAGGTGTGTCAACTTCAGCACTTCTTGTAGTTCTGGAAATTGAAAACTAATTGCTTATCAGAAATGTTCATCAGCAAGTTCCTAAATAAATATTAAAGTTTTACATTACAGAATCTTGCTGCTTCACTGACTCTGACTGTAAAGTAGCTGGGAGGGATGGACTCCCCCTTCACACGCTGTCAGGTTAGGGAATTGTAAAATTAAGGTGCTTTTTCCAGCACCATTCCATAAGACTTGCATGTCCAGATGCAATTTTAACTTCTCATTTATATTTGCAATTCAATGCGTGTCGGAGCCTTCAAAAATGAAGTCTTCCATGAGAATTAACTTGGAGTAATAAAAAGTAATAAAACCTGATTGCGGCACCACCTCGGTTGTCTTCTGGAAATGTACAAATAAAGAAGGGCTCTAATGGGTGCCAGTGGCTCCTGGAAGGTTTCCTTTTCCCCCTTTCCCTTTTGCTACAACAATCAGCTCCACGATGACTCATTGCCTTCGTTAGCAGAGGGAAGACATCCCTCATTACTCATTACCAAAGGAAGGGCCTTGCTGCTGCAGGAACAGCCCTGGCATTCAAATTCAGGTACCTTCCACAAGAAAAGAGTCACTGTCATTCTTTCCCAAACTTTGTCAAAAGAGACAAGAAATAATGCTGTTTAATTGTCCCCATTTATAAATAGAGCATCCACAATGACAGAATTGTAATTTTAATGCTGCAATCGGGAGGGAAAATGCACATTTTTCAGGTTTTGTGTCTGGATTTCAGTTCAGGGAACTCACACTGAGACTCAAGGCTATAAATGATCATATATATGTATTTATAAATAAAAAACACATTTATTTGTTTGTTTGTTTATTTACAATTTATTTTCTGACTTTTTAATTACAGAGCACTGTGGATAAAGGACATAAATGCACACACAAAGCACTTGTTAAAGTAATCCAGGGATATATTTGATTTCAAAGGGAGCAGGGAAGACTTTAAAATAATTTCTTAAAATAATGATTTTTCTTGATTTTACTAATACAAATGTTCCTTGTCTCTTTTCACAGTCCCTTTTTTCAGATTTATTTACTTGGATAGGAAGGAATTGAGCTTGTATTAAGTTTTTACTGTTTTTTAATGTGGTTTTTATTAAGCTGTACAGAATGGTCCATGCCTCTTTATAAATAAAGCTAAGATCATGTATTACTAGAAATCACATTTCAAACTGTGCTTTTGCCAGACTTGGTTAAGATTTTCTAGGAAGGGACATTATAATTGTATGATTAATCTCCAGAAAAGGGAAATTTTGGCTCTGCAGTATTTCTTACTGTGTTAACTTCAGAGATTTATAAAACCAACTTGAAACTGCACTGTAAGTGTATTTATAATGACTTTCAGCTGATTTAATAATGCTCAGAGTTTGGTGACTGTACAGATCACAGCTCCCCAAATGCAGTGCATTACCTCCAGCATCCAGATGAAGTTATCAGAGGGGGAGGAAATGGTTGGGATTGTGTTTCTGCAGAGAGCTGCACTAATCCAAGCCCTGAGCTGCTTTGATCCCATTGTGCAGTGGGACACGGGCACGGGTGATAGAGAACATCTCAGGTGAAGGATAGTAAAGAGCATCTCGGGCTGGGCATGGAGAAGAACATCTCAGGTCAGAGATAGTCAAGAACATCTGAGGTTGGGGTTGGAATCCCAGCTGAGGTGTGTGGGTACCCCCCAATCTCAGGGCTGGGCTCCCACTGGGGTCATGTTCTAAGAAAAATTTCCAAGCCAGTCTCTGATCCATTTCTGCTGGTTTAGATGCTCCTGCCAGTGCCACTCCCTGCAGCTGGCACTGCTCAGTGTCCCTCTTAGTTCATGATTCTGCAAACCCATCCAAGGAGCCCTTGATCATGCAAATAGCCCTGCTAATTGCAGATATTGGTACTGCTTTATTCCAGTGGAGTGAGAGCCTCTCAGACACAGTGTGCAGGATCAGCTCCTTCAATCACATTTATATGTGACAAGCCCCGGCACATGGTTGTTTTTAAAAGTCACCAGTTTAAACAAAGCCAGTTGAAACCATGCCAGAAGCTTTGTGTTAAGTTTCCTGGCTGTGTGCTCCTTTCAGTGTTTCCAAGCTTTGCTCTTCATAATAGTAAATATCAAACAAGGACCCCGGGGAGCCCTGGGAGCTGGATTGGCAGGTCTCAGTCTCCATTTAACATGCAAATGCTCAGCCTGTGCTCACATATGGCCACTCGCTGGATCAGAACTCAGCTCATTCACACAGAACTGTTCTGGGAGTTCTGGGTAGATGTGGGGTGTGTGCACAAAACACCAGAGCACAGGGGTTTAAGCCAGGAAGGGAACAGAACACAAAATAGAGTTTAATTTACTTGTGTTGAAGAATCCAAATACTGAACATGTTTTTGCAAAATCCTGATTTTTCTTTTTATGGTTGTCCAATTCACAACAGGTAAGTAATCAGGCTTCAATCAACTGCCTATTTCCAGACCAGTTATTTGAGCTATTTTGTGACTTTAAAGCAATTCCTGACCTTCATCTCTTGGATGACATGCAGAGTTTCTTTAATGGTGCTGAGGACTGAACAGGCTCCCACCAACACCTACAGAATTCACCTCTCTGGCATTTTCTTAATTTTCACATTATTAAGCAGATAAAAGAGGAGCTGTTTCCTTCCCAGATCCCTCTGGGGGACTGTGAGGCATCAGTCCAGCCGAGCATTTCTTTGATCAATGAGCAGAGTGAGAGTTGTGGGAAGCCTAACGTGTGGCTTTGTGTCCTTAGGCATCCACTGTGACAACATCTGCAGCCAGGGCCGCTGGGGACCCAACTGCTCCATCTCCTGCAGCTGTGAGAACGGGGGGTCCTGCTCCCCTGAGGATGGAACCTGTGACTGTGCACCGGGATACAGAGGGCCCTTGTGCCAGAGAAGTAAGATTTTCCATAGCTGGCAGAAGCAAGGCAGGTAGAAATGCTCCTTTATGACACCAGGCAGACAAATCCACAGTTTCTGAGCTGCTTTAGCTCATGACTTCCTGAGGGCAGAAGAGCCTGGAAAAGGCTCCTTCATCAAGAACTCTCCTGCACTGAGCTGTGCCTTGTTTCTTCTTCTGATCACACCTGAGGTCACAGGTGACCTGGAAGGAGGAGCAGCCCCCTTACAAACCAAGCTGGCAGGACTCAGGTTTGCAGTGAAGTCAGACCTGTTAAACAGTCAGCCACCACCCATCAAATAATGACAAGTGGATGAGCGTTGGCATCAAAATAATAAGGCAATGTTTTCTTGTATGCCAGAAAAAGAAACACAGCAGCCCAAAATAGCTCCTGTTTGATGCTCTGCTGCTACATATTAAAATGTACCAAGCAGATAAAAATCCTCTCATTTGCTTTATCTGGGAAGCTGCATTTGCCCCATAGGGACCCTAATTCACTGATCCAAACTACACCAACCATCTTCCCATGTAAACAAGAAGTGGATTTGTCTTTGTTTTCTGCTCAGCATTTCTTCTTCCTCCTCTTGCTGTGAGACATTTTGCATGCCCAGTTCATAGATCCCTTTTGATTTCACAAGTTACACTTGACACTAGAACACACTCATCTCTAAAAATAATTTGTAGCTGACAGTTTTTATTTAAAGCCATTATAACAATGACCTCTAGCACTGCTGTAGTTAATGGCCTATAAGCATTTCCATTATAAACCCCAATTTCCAGGTGCTTCAGCATATCTGTGTAGCTGTAAAACCTCTCTCCAAGGCTAAAATGTGGAGCTCAGAGCTTCAGGGAGATGAGGAAGAAAATGTTTTACAAATTTGAAACCTTAAGAGTGCAAAACTTCCAGAAGTTAATAGTTTCTGACCTTTCTGAGATGAAAAAAACCCAGCTTAGTTCTATCAGCTGTTGGCATGCAGGCTACAAGTTTGCAAGCCCAGGAATCAGGCTGCTCCCTGAGGATGTTTACTAAGGATTTAATGGGGAGAACTTTTCCTCCCCACTGGGGTGACAGCAGAGGGGTCCTGTGGATGCTTCTGCTCCTTCCTCTGTGTGTATTTGGCCTGGGAATCCAGCTTGGAATCCAGCTCTTTTCTGAGATTCAGGCTCAAAAATACCTTGTGAGCAGACCTTGCTAAGCTTGTTCTCAAAATCATCCACATTTTTCTCTTAGAAATTCATTTAGAAACAGGGTTTAGGCTGTTTTATTACAAGGCAGAGCTGAGGATGATACTGAAGATGATACTCAGCCAACTTGTTCTGTCTGTGTAATCAGGATTACATGAGACACTGGGATGGTTTAGTGCTCTTAAGCCTGCAGAAATGTCTCCAGGAATGATCCAGGTTGTTTTACAGCCACTGCATCATCAACCAACCTGTCAGCTAAGCTCCAGCTGGAAATGTGCAGTGGGGTAAGAGCCTGACACCCTCTGAGAACATACAGTCCACAAGAAAATTCTCATTTGCTGGAAAAATAGAACAGACATGATTTAGTAACCACTGAGCCAGAACTATAGAACAGAAAATCACAGGAGTAAAAATAAAAACATATAAAGTTATTTTTACTGTCACTTACTGCAATTTAACATTTCTTTGTGTTATCTATTGCAGTGAATGTTTGGACAGTGGATGCTTTTTCACTCTACATGCTCTTAAAAGCAAAAATCTGCTTTTAGAAGAGATACTGAGCCATAATCCTGATTCTATACCTGATGTACAAAGTCTATAATAATTTCAGTCCAGGTTTTAGGCAAAATAAGCACACAATTCATTACAAGTTTACTCAGCTATTGCTATGATTACTGATTCAAATCAGGTGATTTTGTATGGTGTTACATAATTACCATTATTGGCTTCTCTTCATCACTTGATGGCTGTTGCTCCTCCCATGAAATGTAGAAAATGACTGCCCCAGCTGAGCACAGGCATTGCACCAGATAGGTTTGGAAATCCACTTTTGGTATAGTGGTTTTGACATAAAATATTGTTTTCTAATACACCTTCTCTGATTTCTTGACTCAATTTCCATTTCTTTCTGAGTTTCTGTTTTTGTACATGCATTCCAGTGTTTCTTTTCCTATCTATCCTAAAATCTTTGGAATGTGTGTTATTAACCATATCTGCTGTGGGGTCTCAAACATCTTAAACTCCTGTTTTGTCAGTGTTCAGGTTTTTTTGAGTAGAGGGACTCAAATGAGTGTCCTGAGAGAGAGAGGCTGCTGAGAACTCTGCTGTGGTATTAAACAGCCAAGGACTTCCATGAGGAAGGAAGGTGGGAATGTTTGAACACAGGAGCAGTTTTACCTGAGCCTGCACTTTATTAGACATGGAACAATCCAACAGGCCTCATCATTTCAGCTGTCCACAAAATTGTGCTTGATGAATTCAGAAATATTGGTTTGGGATTAAGACAGAGAACTCTCAAGCTCTGAGTGACGAGAAAACGCTGAAACACCTGTGACAGTCTGGTTTGTTCTGTTTTCAGTTTGCCCCCCCGGGTTCTACGGGCACCACTGCAGCCAGCCGTGTCCCCAGTGCGTGCACAGCAATGGTCCCTGCCACCACGTGTCCGGGCTGTGTGACTGCCTGCCGGGCTTCTCGGGGCCCCTCTGCAACCAAGGTACCGCCTCCCCTCCGGGCAGCCGCTCTGAGCGAGCCCCGTCCCTGCTCCCGCTTCTCTCTGCAGTGTAGATCCCGAGAAGATCTTTCCTTCAGAGGGAAAATGCAAACAGGTACTCAGTCACCCTCCTGGAAATATGATGTGCTCCTGGTTTCATAAATAATCCAGCTCTGCCACACTGGATTGAAGTGCCTGTGGAATGAGACACCTGCTGTAAATACATCAGCATCCAATGGCTTCATTTTTCTTGCTGCTCAGCCTGTCCTCACCTGAATGTTGAGAGCACCTTCCTGTGATCTTTGCAGCAGGACAGGGAGGTTCTGGTTAAGGTACAGGCCAGCTCAGGTGAACAATCCCAAACACCCAGTTGTGCACCAAACCTCATTGACACTGTGCAGGACCTGGCTGGGAATGGCTAAAACCATGGACACAAGGAAAGTTTGCAGTGAGGCAGAGAAGTGAGTTCATTTTCACAAGTGAAGAGGAACTTCAGCTCCCCCAAGCACCCATCACCTTTCTGTACCTTTCAAAGTTCCACATTTAACTCCTGCTGTCCTTTTCTTCCTAAAAGTACCCTCAAAATCCCTCAGCCTTCTGCACTCTCAGTTGCTGCATACTGCAGTGGGTATTTTCTACACAGATATTTAAAAGAAGTGATTTGTAGTGGCCACTGCCCCTGCCAGAACAGAATGACACTTTCAATGACCTGCTTCTCAGTAAGGTGGGATTGCAGGCAGCAGTTACCCAAAATCATTAAACATAGATTAAATATAACCATGGGGTTTTTTTTCCTGTGCTGTATAGTCAACTAAACATTACACCAATTAATTTATTAAAATGAACGTTTTTCAGTGCATTTGTCCATTTTATGTGAAAAGTTAGCCAGATTTCAAAGCATAAGCAGGTCTAATTATCCTCTTAAGAAAACTATTTTATTTTTGCTCAGATGTTCAGCACTTCTGGTTTTACTTTGAAATGTTGATCTATCTAGCAAATTAATCTTAAAATATTCATGTCCTAATTAAAATCAATTTGTGTTGCAGTTTGTCATAATGAGTTAACATGTAACTTTATTTTGTAGAAAGAAAAATGCTAATTAATTTTCCATTAGAAAAATGTGAAATGAAGATTTCACTTTGGAATTTTCATTCCCTTGTGCCATTGGCAGCAGGAACGTTCTTCCACCAGCAGTATGTGCATGTGAAGAGCTGTGTAACCCCCAAAACTGCACAGGTTTACTCAGTTGTGCCAAGGATTCCGAGCTGCAAACAACTAAACAGCTGTTTTGTGAATATCTTTCACAATCCCAGAGTGAGATGGGTTGATAATAACTTGTTATCACTGCTAGAACACACCTGACATCCCACAGGGACTTTGGGAGTCCCACTTCAGAGCTTTCTGAGCTAATTAACATCCCAATCTGTGTTGTACAGTCAGGCTGCTGCTGAAGAAAGCAGCATGAGGTCTTGTTTTACAGCTCTCTAAAAATGATTGAGACATTTAGAAAGTGCTTGGATTTGGATCTCACATCTTCACAAGTCTCTCTGGCAGTCCACAACCAGGTTGTTTAAATTAGGGAGATCCATTTTGTCATCCCTCTGTGCTGCCATTCCAGAGACAAGGGGAGCTCCCGTGGAGGGAACCCCTCTGCCAGCTCTGCCTGTGTGCACCAAAGTGTGACCTGGTCCCTTTGCCAGCAGCTCTGTTTGGATCACAGTTCTTGCCCTGATCCACCAGTAATCCATGGTGCAGAACAAATCAGCTCCTCTTCAAAGGAAGGCCTTTGAGAATTCCATTTTTTGTACATACAAACCCCAGTCTTCATCGAGGTGCTGTTGCCTATCTCCAGCTCAAAGATGCCATAAACCAGTGCCCGGAGCTGCTTCTTGCAGAGCACTGGAAGGGAATATTGGTGTGGCCTGTCCAGGAGCCTGGGCTGAGAGATCAGTTCAATTTTTGCTGTCTGTGATAGAAGGGTTCTGCTTTCCTTCTCTCTTTGTGTATTCTTTCCATCCTGGCTGTGTATTGTGTTTAGTTTTATCTCTTTTCACTTAGGAACAGTTCTGTTTAGCACACAGTGTGAAAGCCAAACCCAACTTTATCCACTCCTACAGATAAGTCCATAGTCTATAGAAACACAAGCAGAAAACAATACTCTGCTCTTGTAAGAGCAGAGGATGGCATATTATATAAAAGCCAATGAATCACAGCTCAGGATTTCAATCTGTGGCTGATTCACAGTCAGGATAGATTGAGGTCACCTGCAGGGACTACTTTTGAGAAAGTGAGAGAGGCTGAAGTGGTGGAACAGCTGCATAATTCAGGGAAGTGCCTTAATCACTTTTTTGACATCGCTATTATTTACCAGGATCCAAGTCCAGTTCCATTTGTTACCCTCTTTGCAAAGATGGACTATATGTTTTATCTTGTTTTAAAAATACATCTGTTTTTGTCAGGGAACACAGCCAATAAGAGCCCAGAAATGAAACATTTCATTTGTTACTGAGCAGAGCCTTCCATCAACTTTAACGTTAAAGATTTCCAATAATTTGGTGGGAGGTTGAAGATCTACATGTCTATTAGTTTCCTGTCACTGTGCTTAGGATGTGAGAGGATGACTCTGGAAAAAAATTGAGTTTCTTTTCTTCCAGCTTCACTTAGGTGGACACACAGGGGGAGGTGCTGGTTTTGTTGGGATGCAGCACATTTGTTAAATAGCTCCCAGTCAAACAGATATATAACATACATAAATATAAATATAGATAAAATCCTTGGAAACCAGATCAGTCCCAGCCACTCACTTGTACCTGCTCCTCACTGAATTCTCCTAAGGTTTTCTTGTTCTTTTCCTCTCCTGATGATCCCTCTTCTCTGTTTTGTCTCTCCTCTTGTAATCCTTCCATACTGCCCTTCAATAATTGCAATCTTCTGACTATATTAGCTTAATTTTCCAGCAGAAAAATGGATTTTAATATGACTTTTTCCTATTGTTTTTACTCCTGGGATGCAAGAAAAATGGGCTCAAATACTTCTCCTGCTTTCCAGAGGAATTTTGCTTCATCAAAGAAAAACTATTGTAATTAATTTTATCTCTAATTGCTAAATGTTGAGTCCTGTGATTTCCTGCCATTCCCTTTGAAGAGGCTGCAGTAAAGTGCCTTGTGTTTGCAGTGTGTCCCAGTGGGAAGTTTGGGAAGGACTGTGCTGAGGTGTGTCAGTGCACCGAGAACGGGACCTGCAACCCCATCGACGGCTCCTGCCAGTGCTTCCCGGGCTGGATCGGCATGGACTGCTCCCAGAGTAAGGGACATTCCCCTCCTCTGCCTCCAGATAACCATTTCTGCCTTGGTTTGCTGCTTTCTGAAAGTTAAAGTCAGAGTCTGGGGAAATCCCTGTTGTATTACAGCCAGTGCCTTACTCTCTTTAAAGCAGATTTCTATTAATTAATCTAACTTAGCTTTGGATTGAATTGGTTTCTGCATTTGGAGTTTGCAGAAGCCCTGACTGGCTTTTATTCCAGGAAAGGGAGGTCACAAGCTCTTATCAGAAAAGAAAGCTCCATGCTCCCTTTTAATTTCTAGCTGGATTTCTTTTATTTATTTTTTTGTAATAATTTTCTTTCAGCTATTACATTTAGACATTATTAACCAGTAAATGTTTTCATGTACCAAATCCCTCGAATTGAGAAATTAGGTAGCTGAAATATTTCTATTAAATGTAATTTAATTGTAAAAGTCAATGTGGCCTTGTAGGGATGAAGGATTTCTTTCTGAAAATTGCCCAGGTAGAAGATTGGCATTTGCTGATCCCAAAGTGTCATTTCCTGAGAGCATCCCTTAATTGAAGCTAGATCACAGAGGGAGGCAATATCCGATCATTCAGAAATGTTACTTCATATTCAGGATACAACTAGCATATTAGACAGCATTCCAGAGGAAAATATATTAAACTCCAAGTGATAAAGCAGGAATCGGATAAAAACAGACGGCTGTAATTTTGCTTTTATTGTGTGTCTTCCACAGGCAGAATATTGCTGTCACTCAAAAACAGCAGGAAAAAAAAGGGAAAAAAGACAGAAAGCTGCACATATTCCTCATTATATTTAGCCATCTAATTGGGAAATGTCTGTTAGTGTCTGTTAACCTTGAAAAAAAGTGGTTTTCCTTACAGAGCAAGGCAGGCCAGGTCAGCAGGAGCAGTTCAGCAGGCAGCACCTGCCTGTGGGCACTCTGGGTTCTGGATGAGCAGAGGGGGACGTGGCTCTTTGCTCAGTTACTCCTTGCACACAAAGGGAACCTCTCCCAAGGTGACCCTGTCCCACTCCAGGCTCCCTGGGCACCTGGGCTCCCCTCCCAGGCTATTTCTGGCCCTGTGTTAACCTGGAATGACCTGGACTTGGAGCTGCTCAGGAGATAATTTTAGCTCCAACTCCAGAGCCAGTTCTGGATTCACTAACAGCTCCTGCAGCTCTGCCTTAGAACAGCATTGGAAAAGTATTTCTGGTTGCTTATAGCACAAACACTTCAGGCCAAATCCTGCTCAGCTTTACATTGTGTGAGTCCAGTGACCTTTTGTGTGATTTACATCATGGCAGAGTTTTTTTGGCCATTCATTCTGGCTTTAGAGGTGTCTGTCAAATGCCAGAAACTTCCATTTATCATCCATGGAGCCATTGGCATCCATGGAAATAGGCCTAGTGTCTGTACTTTCAGGTTTCCTGGGAACTGTGCCTTATTAATTCATGTCTTTAGCAGGAAGCAATGGAAAGTGCTTTTTAAAGCAAAAATATAGTTGTTATATTGAAGGCCTATCATAATTTCGGATCTTTTAGTCTGGCACTAATAACAGTAACTTACTGCATTCATTTTTGGAGGGAGGCTTACAATAACTTTTTTTAATGTATTAATATTGTACTTGTTGAAATATAAAATGGACCCAGAGATTTTAATTTAATATTAGCCCCCCAACAACAATAGCAATCTGAATTTGTGGATGTGAATTCATACTGGAAGAGGTTTTCTTTACATTTTTTTCATGATTGGAGTAGCACTCTGTTCTTCAAATGAATGTGGTAATTTTAGTGGTTGATTGCATAGCAAAGTAAACCTGAATAGCTGGGCTTTATTATGCAAGAATTCCAGCATGTCAAAAAGAAAATTAAATTACCTCCATATCCTGCAACCCTGCCTAAATTGTCCTCACAGATAATGCCAGTGAGGCATGGAGAGTGCCACAGCACAGAGTGGGGTCATGTTGAGGGTCACTGGTCACAGCAAGGACCTGATCCTGCCTCCTGCCCCACACAGAGGATCATGGAGTCACAGGATCCTGGAATGGTTTGGGTTGGAAGGGACCTTGAAGCCCATTCCATTCCACCCCTGCCATGGGCAGGGACACCTTTCCCTATTCCAGGTTGCTCCAAGCCCCAGTGTCCAACCTGGCCTTGGACACTTCCAGGGATCCAGGGGCAGCCACAGCTTCTCTGAGCACCCTGTGCCAGGGCCTGCCCACCCTCACAGGGAGCAATTCCACCCAAATAACCCATCTATCCCTGTTCCCTGTGTCCTGTCCCTCCATCCCTTGTCCCAGGTCCTCTCCAGCTCTCCTGGAGCCCCTTTAGGCCCTGGAAGGGGCTCTGAGCTCTCCCTGGAGCCTTCTCTTCTCCAAACTGAACATTCCCATCTCCTCCAGCCTGGCTCCAGAGCAGAGGGGCTCCAGCCTTTGCAGCATCTCTGTGACCTCCTCTGGACTTGCTCCAGCAGCTCCAAATCCTTCTGCTGTTGTTCCCCAGGGCTGGAGGAAGCTCTGCAGGTGGGGTCTCACCTGAACAGGGCAGAAGGGCAGAATCCTCTCCATCAACCTGCTGCCAAAATCCCTGTGCCAGGGAGAGGTTACAGGGTGGCAGCAGGGTTTGGAGAGCAACTGATGGCTTGGAAGGACCAGCCACTGTCCAGGGAGCACTGGTCACTGTCCAGGGAGCACTGGTCACTGCCCAGGGAGCACTGGCCACTGCCCAGGAGTCACTGCCAAGTTCAGCAGTGTGAGGTTCTGCCTTTGCTGATGTCTCACAGGTTCTCCCTTTATTGTTGCTCCTCCACAGCACTAACACAGGATCATTGCTTTCTTTTTTGTCAGCTGACAAATGTTTTTTATTTTCATAGCTTGTCCCACTGGGTTTTGGGGCCCTGATTGCTTTCATTCATGCAACTGCCACAACGGAGCACAGTGCAGCCCCTACGATGGAGAATGTAGATGCACCCATGGCTGGACGGGGCTCTACTGCACTCAGCGTAAGCCTTTCAGAGACAGGGAATCTGTCAAAGTATGTGCTGCTACCTCGTGTCTCTTCCAAGTATTGCAGTTTTCCCTGGAAAACCACATGCTCCTTCCTCCTGATAACCTCACATCACCCCTAAGAAAATAGTCCTGAAGCTTTCCAAGGTTTTTTTATGCATTTGGCGCTCGATAAAGGAGGGGAAAATCATTTAGATTATTGATTCATTGTTAGAATTTGCACAGTCAGTGTCCCTGCTTGTTAATGCCCCAGTATTTATGGTCTGATTTAGGAAAATGGTAGAGATTTCTCACCCTAGTGCCAAATTACCGGTATGAAAGAGGAGATCCAATTCTGGTGAGCCTTTTAAGAAGGTTCTTTCACTTGCAAATAATTGATTGATCCCTGGTCTTGCAGAGTTTCTGTTTAGCATCTTCTTTCACTTCTTGAAAATGTAGTTTGTATAGATGGGTCAAGTTTTCATTCTTCTGAAACACTTAAGAGGCAATTCTGTAAAGATGAGAAACATTACTTCAAGAAAATTGTCTGTCACAGTATCTCTGCATTTAGACCATCAAATAAATGTCATTAAATATACAGAGGCTGAAAATCCATTGATTTATACGCCCACATACTTTGTGCTGATAACACATCTGAATTTGACTTCCAGCTTATTTCTTACTCTTTCCTTGTCCTGCTTGCTGAAAGGTTGCCCAGCTGCTTTTTATGGGAAGAACTGTGCCAACGTGTGCCAGTGCCAGAACGGGGCCGACTGTGACCACATCACCGGGCAGTGCACGTGCAGGACGGGCTTCACAGGCAAACAGTGTGAGCAGAGTAAGTGCCAGCCTCCTCAGTGCCCTCCTTCTCCAGAGAGGGGCTGTGCTTCACAATTCTTGCACAAACTGGCTCTTAAATGAGGTGTTGATGTCAGCAGGACAATGACCTCGGGCACCTTATATAGTCCATAGGGAGGAGAGGGCAGTCTGAGCATAAAGAAATTCACTGAATCCCTTCAAATTGAGCCTTTCATTCCCAGGCTAAAGTTAGGTGAGGGAAAGTAAATCACTGCACTTAGTGTTGACTGGCTGGGGCCTTCCCAAAAAACTCATACCTGGTAATACACACCCAGCCCTAAATCTGCCTCAGGCCTTGTGAATGCTGCTGAGAGCAGCAGCCCCAGGTTTCCCAGTGCATAAAGACAGAAGGGTTAAAAGGAACAGGTCCCTTCTGCCTTCCAAAGAATACTGGGCATATGGGCCTTTCCCACAGAAGTTATGAGGTAGACATGGACCAACCAAAGATTCATCTTTACAGTGAAAGCAGATCAAGGGAAGCAAGGTTGCTTGCCATTTTGGGAAGGGTCTGTGTTTAGCTTGAGCAGTGAGTGTTTCCCAATGAACCTCAATTCCCTTGCAAGGGATCTGGAATGTCTTCCTGGAATTGTTATCCATGTCCCACTGGAATATTTAGCAGGCTGTGCCAAATGGCTTCTTAGAAGAACACAGAATGAGGGTCCTGGGAAGAGGATGTGCTCTGTGTGTGTGTTCAGTGCAGTAATTCACAAGGAAATTCTCACCCACTTACTGGGGTTCTAAACCCAGGTGACATCCACCTCATCTTCCCAAGGCATTAATTCCTCACTTTTTTTAGCAGTAAGGTAATTCAGTAACATTCCTGACAGATTTGCAAGGGAAGGCTTTTTAACTGTAGCTTGCTACGTGGATCTTTATGGATGTATTTGTGCATGTAACTTAATTCATAAATATGTTTTTGCACACACTTGCATTCAGCAAAGTGATATCTCAGGGCCAAATTTGTGTGCTCTTGGGGGATTGCACATGGCACCACTGTAACTCTGTAAGTGGCCAGCTTGGTGGAATTTGGGGATGCTCTTCACTGCAGCCACAATCAAAATAGGAAACTAAAGAATCCCACAAAGAACTGCACAATAGCAGATTTTATACAAGGAGCTGCTTTATGATTTGATCCCTGTATAATGCCTGAGGCTTTCTTTTCTATCCAAACTACAAATGTATTTATTTACTTGTTTTTCTACTGTTTAATCTAAAAGAATCTCTTCATTAAGGCTCCTTCCTTCTCCAAATCCTGCTGAATGGGCAGTCACACTGCATTGCAGATGAAATGCTTAATTGCAGGCATCATTTCTGTGGTGCAGTCCCAAAATTTAGGCCTTATTCATTTTAAGTAGGCTGCAGGCTAATAAAAGAATGATCATTAATTGTAATAATTCTATTTTTTTCTTTGTTTGAGTACCAACAGATTAAATATACAATTCTAATACACACTGCAAATCAATAAACAGATACTGGCTATGGTTCTGTACTTAATATTAAATTTTGGCTACCAGAAGCTACTTTGAGGCTGACACTGGGGAGGTGTTGTCATGCAATGAAAAACCTTTGCAGTGACACACAAGGAGTCCCATCTTGAACAATATATTCCACAGGATTATAGCAAGGGTGCATGTTCTCAGTAATGCAGCTTCTCCATGGAAGTAAGTGACAGACATTGTTTCTTTCAATTTATTCTTGAACAGCGCTTCCAGAAGTACAGTAAGCTGCCTACAGATTTATTGTAATAGCCCATCATGGTAATTGCATGAATAAATTTCTCAGCTGGACATTCAGTCTTTGATAGAAACACAAAGACAGCATAGAAATTCCTTCTGGATTAGGAACCCTGACACTGAAGCAGAGCAAATCAAACCATTCAGATGCTCAGTTCTGAAATTCCACCTGCAATGTTCTATTCCTATTCTATTCTGTCCTATTCTGTTTCCTACTCATCCCTACCAGTTCCCATCCTGGCACTGGCAGGGATGAGTAGGAAAGTATGTGAGGTTTGTTTGGTAAAGGCTGTAGGGTTCATAGAAAGGTTCATTAAATCTTTTCTTTGCAACTCCCTCCTGAAAAAATAAAACAGGTAAGTTTTTAAGGTTAAGTTAAGGTGAAGAATGCTGAGCTCTGTTGTCTGCAGCTTCTGAGCTCAAGCTCTGTTAAACTCTGAACATTTGTAATATACATCAAGTCTTCTAAAGCCTTTGTGCCTATCATTGATTTCATTCTATGAATTTTCCAGAAAGTTACAGTTTAATAAGTAACAAACTGCACATAGAATGCATTTAGCTCCTCCTGCTTTAGACTAATAATAATTTCACATTAGGGTGTTATCCTAGAGATCCTAAAACCAGGGAGACTTCTCTACCACATTTCCCATGGCAAGTGTTGTGCCCCTTCCCAAAACCAGAAGAATTCTTTCCAATGTTTTTCTTTGGCTCCCCAGAGTGCTCTCCAGGAACATTTGGTTATGGTTGCAAACAATTGTGTGAGTGCATGAACAATGCAACGTGTGACCACGTCACAGGCACTTGCTACTGCAGCCCAGGCTTCAAAGGAATCCGATGTGATCAAGGTACAGTGGAATTTTCTCTGTAAAATCCCTGTCTCCCTCTCTCTCTCCCCCTCTCCAATGATGTAGTTAAAAAAACACAGTGTTTCAAAAATGAAATGAAATGCACGATTCAATTTACAGTGTGTTATGAATTACTTTTAACAGCGGCTCTTATGATGGAAGAATTAAACCCCTATACTAAAATTAGCCCTGCTCTTGGATCAGAGAGGCACTCAGTGGGAGCAATCATTGGAATTATTATTCTCCTTCTAATTATTATGGTCTTGCTGGCACTCTTTGTGTGGTATCGACGGAAACAGAAGGAGAAGGGCCATGACATGCCAAGTGTATCTTACACTCCAGCCATGAGGATGACTAATACAGATTACTCACTTTCTGGTAAGGGTCTTTTTATGTTAATCAAATCCAGACTCATATTCCTGTCTGTTGGGGAAATACAAGTTTCTGTGATGTGTAACATGTGTTACTGAGCCTCAAAAATAATGACACTTCCATTCTTCCTCAGAATGCCGTGATCTTTAAACACATAAATGGGACAGGAAAGTAAATATCAAATTGATTTAAGCTGTTTTCTGTGTGGAAGTTGATATGGGATATACCTAAGCAGGAAATATGCTGCATGGAATTTTGAGTCATGTGCATTCCTGTTGCAGTGCAGAGATGTTTCCCTTTGTGAAACCTTGGGAAGCCTTTATTGGTTTGAAGAATGGGATTGTCTGGGTCAGTCATAAGGTTTTGGTTTTGTCTGTGCTGCAGTTTGTGATTTGAGGTGTCTGGTTGTTGTCACTCTCTGCTGTGTGCATTCCAGTCCTTGTCACGTAGGCAGCTGGTGGGAATCATCTTCCAGGAGCTGAGGAAAGCAGGAGAGAGGAAGAGGAAGGCTCTTCAGGATCAAAGCATTCTTCCTTCATTCTATCCTCTGCTCCTGCTGTGGAGAACAGCTTTTCTTGACAGATTGTCTAAATTTTGGAGGATGTGATCTCCTTTTCAATGCTGTCATTCTTACTCATTCCTCTCTGGCCAATACCAGGGATGATGCCAGGCAGGAGATGGCTTTACTTCCTTCTGGTTTCTCCACTGTCTCAGTGGGGATCTTCTCAGGGTTTACTGCCCTCTGACTTGTTCTCTTCCTTTTAAATGGCTGAAACTCCAAGTCCAGGTAAATACAATGCCCTGGGGCGGGCAGAGGTTGGCCAGCAGCTCTGCTTCCCCAGGCCTGCAGTGCCTTTTTCTTTCTGCTTTTTACTCTAAATGTACGAGGCCTCTTGGCTTCTCTGCTGTCTCAGGGTGGCACAGCTGGAAGCTTTTTATGGACTTCCCTGCCAAAGATTGCCTGGAAGGAGCCTCTCCCATTAAGCCAATGATAGTGATGCCTGGCTGCTGTAATACCTGGAACTCAGTCATGGAGCTTCTCATGGCACAGTGACTTCAGTCCTCGTGCCAGGGACGTTTGCCTGCCATGGTGTGTCCCACATCACGGGCTCTCTGCTGAACACCATGGACTAGTTTTATATCTAGAACACTCAGTAGAGCATTCCTTCTTCTGATACCTACAAATGGGGGGAGAAATTATCATGGAGCTCCTTTCATTCCTTCTTATTTTTGAATTTTAGCTTTGCTGGCTCTTGCTTAAGCTGCCCATCCTAAATAGCTGAGGGATCACATCCCTCATCTGCACTGAACCTGGGCTCTCTTTTGGTCCTTGGACTGGGAGTTTAGCTCTGGCCCTTGTGGCATTGCTGCTCTGTGTCAGGTCAGTTTGTAAAAACCCTGAATACCAGATCCTCAAACTCAGACAGCACCAGGTCAGAGGGGTTTCATGGGCTTCTCTAGAAAGGAATTGGATAATGGTTCTTTCCTGTTCCACTCAGTCAGTGATGGGGATGCAGAGACTGGGCCTTTTCTTTCCTCTTACTTTCTTTGTGCAGTCCTTCTAGCAATAGAAATTGGATCACTCAGGAGGCTGCAGCAGAGTGGGGTCAGGCATCTCTTTCTGGAGGTCACAAGGACAGTTTTCTTTCTCCTTCCCCTTGGAAAATTCTGCCATCTGAGCTTGTAGAGGAAGATTAAGAAGATAGAAACACACTGCTCCATCTTCAGCTCATTATAAATTGCCTGCAGGTACCAGCATTGTTTCAAGTTTTGGGTTTTGCCCTTTTTAGAAGGGCATTTAAAAATTCTAGACAAGAGCTTCTGAAAACTCCCTGCCAAATCCTGATTGTCCTCCAGTACATTCTCCTGCTGAGACTTTCAGTAACTGCCCCAAGTTTGGCCTTACCAATGCTGCTTCTCTTCCATGGAGCAGAGGGGCAGGAAAAGGTGCTGATGTGCGCCTCCCTCAGCAGAAAGAGGAGAGGTGGATACAAGACAAGCTCACAGAAAAGGAATATGTGGCTGGCAAGAGAACACGTGTGTGTCTGAGGGCAGGTGTGTTACAGAGGATGCTGAAGGACACCAGTGATGCCTCAGGTTTTAGATTTTATATTTTTCACATTCTGTGCTGCTTTAGTCTGTACTTCTGAGCTTCACATTAGGGATGGTGAGCTCTGTGCACAGAGCAGGGACACAAAACAATTCCTGCTCCAGCTGGGCACCAAGGACAAATGACCCAAACCTCAGCCCAGGAGCACAAACCCCGTGGGCTGGAGAGAGAAAAACAAGCAGGGTGGGACTGCAGGGGCTAAAGCTGGGATGGGACAATGAACTGCAAGGTGCAAATGGAGCAGAACTGATCCCAGGGACAGAGCCCGTGCCCGGCCGTGCATTTTGGGGCCATTTTGGTTCATCTTGGGTGCAGCCCTGGCTGGGCTCTGGTGCTGCCCAAGGTGGATCCATGCAGGAGATGCTTTGAATGAATCCCTGCTTTATTCTGGAGCTCTGCCCAGCCTCTGCTCCAGGGCAGCCTTCCCAAGGCATCAGCAGCAATATTGCACAGAGGGAACAGGGATTCCAGCCTTCACCTGCAGGTTTGTTTGTGGATTAAAGGCAGAATACCATGGAGATGTGCTTGTCCAATGGATATAATCCCATGTAAACCCATGTACTTTGGCAAGAATTTCACCTGGATGGCTGCAGCATCCAGCCCTCTGTGGGCTGTAACATTATGGCTCTCCTGAATCACCAGTTGTTCTTGTGCCTGTTTACTCTTATTTGGGTGATGGTGGTGCTGTTTCTGAATAGAGTCACATACACAGATCCCTAGCTCCTGCAGGCAGCAATTTCCTCCAGCACATTTATTTCTGGAGGATGTTTTTGTTCTTTAGGTCATCAGCTCCTGTGAGGCTGATAATCCATGCATATGTTTGAGAGAGATTATGAGGAAAGGGAAGGGAACCCCCTGAGCAGCCCTTGGACTCTTTTGCATTTGTGGATGAAGGATGTGGCAGCAGAACACACACTTTGCCCAGCAGCCAGAGGAGAAGAAAACCACCTGTTCTGGCAGGGCTTATCCACAGCACATGGATCCAAGAGCAAATTTTCCCAAATAAGCCTAAAATCAAAATGGTGCTCCCCAGCCCGAGAATGCCCTACATCCAAAAAAGATTTTGAAGTGCAGGTTGTTTAGTTCAAGGAGATGGGGCCAGAAGGGAAAACTGTGTGGCAGTGCTGGAGAACAGCAGAGATTCCTTCGTGGGACTTTCACAAAGACTTGGCCATGGGCTGAACTGATGTTTGAGGTCTTGTCAAGGTCTTAGCAAACTTTCTGATAGGGGTGAATCCTCTGCTGAGAGCCAAGAGCTAAGCAAAGCTTAACACAAATAAAGCATCATGGATCCTGAAGCCTAGACAAGAGACTTCCAGAAATGATCTGCAGATGATGGGTGGTGGGAGGTGGCAGAGTGAACCCTCCTGTTTGGAGCCTTCAGCCGTCTCCCTGACACTGTGTGGGCAGAGAAGACCCACACAAAGAGAAGGAAGCAGCTCCATTTAGCAGTTGAGGAGTCTGGGTTTGTATTTACTGCAGAGTGCTCACTTATTCCCTTTTTTGAGGCTGGGCTGGTGCCCAGTTTCCACAATACTGTCCTGCAGAATGGGGACTGATGCTCTCTGTGCACCCCAGATTCCAGGCTCAGAGCAGGAGCTCAGTCTAATTCCCTTTAGGCATTTAAGTCTTTCCTTACTGTTCAGACCAGAATAAAATTCTCACCTTTGGGAATAGAGAGATTTTTTGTGGGTTGGGTTTTTTGGGTTTTTTTTTTGTTTTTTTTTTTTGTTTTGTTTTTTTGGGTTTTTTTTTGTTGTTGTTGGTTGTTTTTAAACAGGGATAGCATTAGATTTGTATTTGATGTATTTCCAGCCAGCAGTTACAAGAGCTTCATGAATAAATGTGTAGAAAATGGACTGTGCTATCAAGGTAAATCAGCCTGGGTGGCTACTTAAGTATCAACCAGAGGGAACTGTGTAGCAGGAGTAATTCTGAGTTCAGGCTGCTGCATGCAAGGGGGGGAAGAAAAGGATTTTGGGGGATGTGTACAAGCTCAGAATCATTAATTCAACACTGTGCTAAGTAGTAGAGCACTCTGGTAGAGGTTTATTGCAGCTCATTTTGGGTGCAGAGAACAAGCTCCAGCCAGCTGAGAACTCACCTTGTCTCAGGTGGCTCCCGGTGACATGGGTGGGGACCTCAAACCCCACTGCAGAGCCACAGGGTCCTGCTCTTCCTTCAGCTGCTCCTGGCCCACAGCCAGTGGGTAAGGGAAGGGAGAGGGCAGAGGTGACTCCACCAACACTCTCAGAGCACAGAGACACAGATCCAAGTGTCCTGTTTAACTGGAACCATGAGCTGTGGGGAGGGAGGAGGGGCCCTTGAGCCAAGGCCCCTGAGCAGGCTCAAGGCTGTTTGGTGGGGGGCACACACTGACATGAGGGGTGGGTTCCAGCCCCAGTTCCCACTGGCAGACCCAAGAGAGATGTGTTTCCTGTTGGTTTGATGGTGACGGTCACAGAGCTGTAGCTGGGGGAGATGGCAGAGCCCTGGCAGCCTGGCTGACAGATGTTCAATGCAAAGGCTTCAGCTCTGGAATCACATCCTGATCTGAGATCATTTGTCAGCAGCAACTCTGCAAAACAGCTGGGACTCAAAGGCTCTGCACTTACCACAAAACAAAGCTGACCTCGAAAATCTCATTGCATGTTTCAGCAGAAAAGCAGTGCTTGGTCAGAGCTGCACATGCAGGAGCAGCTTCCCCTGAGCCCTGAGCCACAGCCCTTATGTAAGAGACACCCTGCAGATAAACCCACTTCTTGGAAACAGGATATTCTGCAGTAAATTAGGCTCAATCTAGATCTCCACAAGATGTCAGCAAAGCAAAGTGCATGTTCAGAGTGAGGCGGATGCAGAGGGCAAGGAGAGGAGGTGATGGTGGCTGGGGACCCCAGGTCCCTGTCCTTCCTCACCCACGGCTGCCAGCCTCCAGTAAAGGTGGAGATGGGCTCAAGCAGCCAGCCCAGCACTTCATTTCCCTTTGACATGAAGGTGCTCCCCACAACCACCCTCTCTGCCTGCACTTTGAGCCCATGCCTTAGCAAAGCCCCTTCATTTGCTCCTTACAGGGCCTCGATGTTTAAATGATGCTGATCCAGTTGGAATTTTCCATCTCTTCTCCTGATGGTACTTTGAAACATGTACCTATTTGTTATGCATCTGGAACCAGATTGGGATTGATGTTTTCATTAGAACTGCCACTATAAATATGATGCTTTTCTTGGTAAATTATTCTGCTTGGTAAATGTGTTTATAACTTAAATTGAGGAAATAGATAAAATGTCTCTGAGCATACAGTGTAACTGCCCAGGTTTGCCTTTCAGGGCTCCAGCTTTGGTTTTTGAAAAGCCTTTACACACAATAGAAAGCGTTTTGGACTCCTTGGTACAGTTATAGCACCTTGATTTCTAACATTACTCCAGGTTTTGTAACAAAAAGGTTTCATTTGTTTCAAATCCAAGACTGCCCAGGGGCTCTTCCATAGCTTAAACCAAGGAGGCAGCTGTGTTGCAGCCCATGCATTTCCTGAGTTCTGCCTCCCTCCCCTCACCTGCAAAGCAGCTGGACTGTCAGGAATGACTTTATTAACACCTTCAAGAAGATAACACTGTATTATTAAAGTATTTTGGTTTTTTCTCTTATACTTAATGCTAATAGTCAAGAGCTTCAGACCATAATGCAGGATAGATTGCATCTGCAGATGTTTTAGAACACCCAGTACTCCAACAAAGATTCCTAAACTAGATTGTCTCTACCATGTTTTCAGTTTCTTAAGAACTGTTGTGGCTTCCAAAGTATTTTGTGCTGACTTGTTTTCTTCCCAGATATATCCCAGGGTAGCAGCAGTGTTCACTGTTTTTCCAATCCAAGCTACCACACTCTCTCATGTGGGGTGACTTCACGCTTCTTTCCCAGTAATCTGGATGGAAACAGCTCCTGGAAGGTAGATATTACCCCACCCCAGTGCAGCAATGTTCTTATCAGTTCAAGGAAATCAAGCAGAGCAATGCCTCTGGGGCCCTGTTGTCTGCCAGCACTACTTCAAACTCCAGGGTAGCATTCCTGATGTCCCAGACACTGAAAGGTTGGATTTCCCCTTCCTGTATCTTCCCAGTCTCTGGGAATGGGAACTGGAGTCTCACCCTGTCTGGGTCAGCAAGGCTTGGTGTCTTAGCAACTCTGAGGTATGCTTGCTTCTCAGAAGAGATAAATATCTCAATAAATATCATTATCCTTTAACACAACACCAGTAAATCAATGAAGCATTAATCAGTAATCTCTCTTTGCTGTTTCATTGTTTCCCACATCAGACACACAAATTCCCTGCTGACACAGACAAGCAGAAAGGTGCAAGAAGGTCCCTGGAGTGCTTTTGAGGACTCGTGCAGGGACATTCTGGGAGCTCTGCTGACACTCCTGGCTCTCCAGCAGAGCTATTCCAACCCTCTCACTGGAACATCCTGGAGCACTTCCCTTATCATTTGTTGCAATTGATTCCCTCAGACCATTCACGAACAACACTGACTCAATTCAGCACTTTAGCAGTAAATTTAGATGTGGCAAATGGTAAAACAGCTCCTCCTGTGGAGCCTTAATAAGCCCAGGTGAGGCAAAGCAGAGGGAGCAGGGCAGAAAGGAAATGCAGTTGATTTCATCAAGGTTGTCAGCTTTAAAAATGATGGTATTTCAGGCTGTGTCACCTTAATCCAAATGTAACTATTCACTGGAATGCCATATGAACAAGATTAATGCAAAAAAGACAGCATTGTACAGGACAGGCAAAAATATCTCTACATGTGCTCCTGTAAGTAATTTCTTAGTTGTTAAAAGAAAATCTCATTAAAATGTAATAAAAAGGCTGGCTCCAGAGATTTCTCAGAGAAATGCTTAGACAGATGTGTAAATATGTTTTTTGATGTAGATGGTCCCCTTGCATCATGAATTTTTGCTCCCCAAATTGAAAGTGCAAATGCTCATAATGTCAAATTTAGGATGAGTGTCCGTCTGGACCACTAATCCTTTTGCAAAAATTTAAATCAATTCAGAAAAGGTCAAAGCCAGCACCTATCCTGGATTCCCAGCCTGCAGTGCCATCTTCTCACAGAACTACTTCAAAAATTAAGCTGCTGGAAAGGTTTAATCCCCAAGTGGTGCTTTGGGACTTGCCTGGAAGCTGCTCCCCCTGCTGCAGCTCTGGCCATTGTAGTCAGTCAGGTTGTCCTGATAATCACTGAAAGACCAATAGAAGTGGTATTTTCAGGGTATTTATCAAAATATATGGCCTGATATTGCCTTTAGATCTCCCACCATCTCACTTATTAATGAGAATGCTTTGCAGTGCTGAATAGCTGAGGATGGCCAAAAATACACTTTGTCTGTCTGCAGCTCTGCAGCCAAGTAAGACAAAGGAGCATATAAAGCCCTAATAGCTGCCTTAACGAGTTCATTTCCAAATCAGTTTGCCTGGTGCCATTCTCACTTTCTGCAGAGAAATGTGCACAAGTTGTACTTGGAGGATTCATTTCTTTGGAGTGCCAGCTGGGGTCACAAAGGAGCCAGCGCAGATGCAAAATGAAAAAACAATGGCAGAGGAATGTCTGAAGTGCTGAGCCAGACCCGGGATGTGTTTCCTCCCTGTGCTCCAAGGAGATCAGGCCTGGGGGCGCTGGGCTGGAGCAATTCCTGTCTCAGAGGCTGGGCAAAGCACACAGGCAGGACAGCTGGGAGCCCTGCTCCAATTTGGGGAGAGTTTTCTCTCCTGTGCTTCCCTGCCCTTTCTTTCTGTGTTTTGCCTTTTCTCCCCTCTTGGTGATCTCTCCACTCTATTATCTTTTTTATTTCCCATGTCCCTGTTCCTATTCTCTTTTCTCCCCCAACCCTACACATATCATTCCTGTTTCCTTCCTGCTCTCCTCTCCCATCTCCAGGATCCCTGCCTGGGGGCTGCCAGCACTGTGTACTGACCCTGCTGCAGCTCCCAGGGTGGCACCTCTGGAGGGAAGGAGGTGGGTGAGGCTTTAGCAGGAGCTGAAGGGCCCAGCCCTGCACTGGGGACAGTTTGTGACACGGCTCTGTCTGCACAGGATGGAGCAGGGCCAGGTTTCAGCCGGGGGAAGGATCTCACCTCCTCACGCCCCCTCTGCCAGACACACACTTGGCCACTGCTCAGGTCCTGAAGGTGAACCATTGGAGCTGCTGAGAGGCATCAAACCCTCCCCAGTGTGTTTGGGGCTGGGGTTGTGCCAGTGGAGCACAGACTGGAACACAGGCAGGAGGAAAACAAGTGGGAGGATAAGGGGGAGCCTATCAGAAGAGACTGAAAAAGGCTTGGCTGCTTTTATCTGGCAAAATGAACGCTGAGGGGGAGCATGATTGCCATCTATAAATACAGCAAGGTAAACACGAGGAGGGAGGAGAGCTATTTAAGTGAGATGACAGAGCTGGCTCGAGAACAAATGAGGATGAACTGGCCATGAATGCATCGAAGCTGGAAATTAGATTTCTACCACCAGATCAGTGAGATTTTGGAATAGCTTCCCAGGAAGACTAATGGGACAAAGAAATCTGATTACTGTTAAAATGGAGCTTGATCAGCTCTCTGAGGGATTGTGTGCCTGGGTGTTTGCAGTAAAAGGCAGCTGGACACACAGACTGGGGGATCCAAGCCCTTGCACTCCTGTCCCCAAGCCTGTGCCAGGTGCCAGCAGGAGCTTGCAGGGCTGAGCTTCATCTCTGTGCAAGGACCCCAAGAGTGGATCTGCAGCTCTGAGGTTCAGGAGGTGGCTCCAGCATCTCAGTGCAGGCTTTTAACTCCCAGCACTTTGCCACAAGTAATTGCTCTTCCCATGGGAGAGAGCTTGGCAAGTCAGCTCGGGGGAAATGCTGGAACCATTGGAGCCAAGAGATGTTTTACTGTGACTTTAACTGAAGCCAAACCCTGACCTTTGCTTATGAGCTCCTACAAGTAGGTTTGGCCTTTTTTCTCATGACATGTGCAGCACCAGCTAGTAATGATGCTGCAAGTTACCAAGGACCTTTTGCCACAGAATTACCACAAATTTCCAAAGCAGATAAATGGAGATTACATACCTCCATACCTGTGTCTTCAGATCAGAGCTCTCATTGCTGAACCACAGACCAGATTTCAGATGCCAAGGACCTGTTTTGTGCAGAGGGTGTTTGGCAGGACCACTCACAGAATCCCTCTCAGGGCTGTAATGCCAGCTTTGTGTCCGAGTTTTTGAACTAAGTACATGAAGTAAAAACAAATCTCTCTCACCAAGCTCTGCAAAGTTCATGAAGAATACTCTGTGTAAAGGATGAGGCTGCTGCAAAATGGAGGATTCTCACCTTGAGCTTTTGCAAAGCTCCTAATTCCACCTTCATTCCCTTCCAGCATCGCAGCAAAAGTCCAGGTGTTGGTTTCTACAGACATCATAAAAATCAATTGCTATTAGGTGTCCTGATTTTTTTAAAGCCAGCAGTTTCACATCTATTAAAGGAAGTCCTAAATTCTACCAAAGACTTCACATAAAATTAGAAGATGCAAAACAGAGGTCACTGGAAATGGTCTGACTGGATGTCACCCAGCTAATAAAAAGGCATTCAGTACAGAAAGTACCATTTAAGTATCTCTGACTAAAACTTGCCCAAGAAAAAGGAGGACTGCAAATACAGAATGGCTGCAGCACATTGAGGATGGGCATCTAAAACTGAGCAGCACAAGCTTGGACCAGGAAGATCTGAAGTCAGTATTTAGGGAAATAAATGTCAAATTATTGATTGCACTCCTGCAGGATAAAGGTATGATGGAATTCCTGCCAGCATTTCTTTGCCTAATCACCATGGACTTAAAAACCTGGGCATTGACAAATGGCTGGTGGTGATCAAGTGGCCACTGTCATCTATCCAGCTGTTTCAGACAGGCAGATAATGACTTTGTTTACTCAGGCTGGTATCTCGTTGATCTTAAAGGAAACGTTGCCAGATATGAGGTAGTTTTAACCAAATTGCTAAAATTACCAGCCTGGAATTTTAATGGATAAATTTACTATGAAGGATTTCTTCCTCCAGAAAAGCAATTTTGCTTCACAGTAAAAATTGAAGTATTTTCTATCTTAAAAAAAAAAAGTTAACAAATTATAGTGTGCTAAGAAATGATAGTAGCACAAAGAGACAGCTATAATCACATTCAGGAAAATTGCATTCAGAAAAACTTAGAAATGTCCCCAAATCATTTCATTTAAAAAATCAATTCTAGCCCGTAGCTCTTCATGCCAAAATTTTAGGTTTGTGAGCTGATTTATAAATCCTGCAAAGCCACATCTTTTAATAGAAACCCCAAGACTTTAATAAATGTGCTCTAAGTGGTGCAGCTGGGTTGAAAAATCAGCATTTGTGTTCTGGCTGCAAGTTTTGAAGAGAAGAATGAAGCTGTGAGCTCTGCTGAGGAGAACTGATGGTGCCAAGGGCTGAATTCCTCCCAGTGACCACATTCCAAATGGATCTGCTCTTCATGCCCCTGCTGGGCTGTCCAACTGCCCCATCCATCCCTCATCCATCCATCCATCCATCCATCCATCCATCCATCCATCCATCCATCCATCCATCCATCCATCCATCCATCCATCCCTGCCTCTGCTGTCTGTGTGTCCATTCCCAGTTTGGGAAGCACAGGGAGCTGCTGGATGATCAGGAAATGACTCCTGGGCTCTCCTGATTTCCTGCAGAGCTTCCTCAGTGCCAGGGACAGCGGGAGCACTGCGGGCACAGGGACAACACAAGGATGCTGTAGCCCAAGGTGGGGTGGCAGCAGCACTGAGGGCTGTTGGAAGGGACTGTGGAGGGGAGAAAATGCCCTTGGAATGTGGCTGTGGGTGCTGGGCCCCAGCTGGGATTCAATATCCCAGTAGGCATCAACACATCAGTGGAGGGTTTTGTTCCAAGTCTAAAAACCTATTAAGACAGCTAAGTGAAAAAGAATGGTAGATCAGGAAAGATGAAATGTTGTGGCAATTTTGAATACTCTCTTTCAATTTTAACCTCGTTTTTGTTTAGCATTTTCTTGTAAATCCAGTAAAATAGCTGAGCTGAATGCTTCCAAACACAGCAGGAGGCTTCCCAGTCCGGAAGCAGACACAGGAGGGCAGTGATGGCTTCATCCCTTTTCAGAAACAAGGCTGGGATTTGCTCTTGAATTGACACTTCCTCTGGACCAGCCGTATTCCAGCAGGTGTGGCTTTCAAGGGAACAATGTGAGGAGGAAAGCTCAGCAGTTTTAGCAGCTACAGCTATTGCCAGACCGCCCTGCAGGGCTCAGCTGGTGACCACTCATCTGTCCCAGCGCAGTGGGGCCGTGCAGAGGCTCCTCTCCTCTCACTGCCCACTCTGGGAGGTGCTGTCCCAGCAGCAGCACCTGCAGGGCAGCCCTGGACTCTCCTCTTTGCTGGCAGATGCACAGGGGCCTTTGTACTCCATCATTGCAAAGTGATTTTCCTTGAATTGAGAGAACTCGTGGCCCCTGCACCTCCTGTCAGTGCACCCCCAGCTCCAGGCAGCCCCTCTGTGCATGCAGTGTAGGGGTGTGATCCATCCATCTCCAGGGGTTACTTTGGAGTGTCACCCCACATCCACAGGCACCCCAGTCGTGGTTCCAAAGGAAATCCTGTGCTCTCCAGCATGTTTGTGTTCATGGCTTGGTGAAGTGACTTTCCTTTGTGATTTTCCCTAATGCTAGTGAACAGCTGTCCAACTCACACAGATAAAGGGCTGAGATGCTGAGGCCAAGGCAGGAGTCACCTCCCATTTTTATTCCTGACATCCTTGGGCTGTAGTCTGGGGTGGGAACTGTCTGTCTCTTCCAGCATTAACCCATTATCATACTTTTTGAACAGCTCAGTAGCAAAATCCTTGACAGAGAAACTGCAGACTGGAGACCCTACAGCTATCTGAATGAACTAGGTCAGTAATTTTTAAACACTTTAATCACTTTAGTAGACTTTAGAGCAATTCCAAATCCAAATCAGCCTTTCATAAAGGCATTAACAATAATGAGGAATATTGGTGTTGTCTTTAGTTCACAATCAGAATTGCCAGTAGTGAAAGATAGAGAATTAAAAATTGTTTCCTTTACCACAAACCACAGGCTGGGAAAGCAAAGTCAATATTCATTTTAGTCTCCCTTCCAAGGTTGCTGTGTTGGATCACTATCATCTTCTCTATAAATGTTTTTTAAGGACTAACTCAGGACATTAAAAATTCAAATTTGGCTTTTTTTTTTTTTCCTTTCATGCTTAATAAAGCTTAGCACTAAATAGTGGCATCTTGATGAAGGTGTGGAGCCTCTGTGGGAGCTGGGGTGTGCAATGCTCCATTATCTCCCAGTAAATCATTCCGTGGCAATTCTGAACCACCAGCCAGTGCAACCAAGCCAAGAGTGAAGTGTAATTGCCTGTTCTGAGTTTATTCTTCCTGGCTTGACTTTTAACAGGGTTTTTAGCAGCTCTTAGCTCAAATCCTGCCCAGATTTAGTGCTTTGGATGCTATTTGTTTTCCTATCTGAGCACTCTCAGTTTGGCTCGTGAGTGGCCCAAATGCTTTTGCCCTTTCCTTTCCTGGGATTAGTAACATCTCACTGAAAATATGCAGGAGGAGGGAAAGTGCAGCATTAGGGGGTATTATGGGATTTTTAAGGTCAACTATCTCACAGCTCACTTGGCAAAGGAATGAACACAGGGCAGCACCAGGCATCACACCCTGCCCTGGGCCCAGGCCGTGCCTCACTCCAAGATAACTCTTCCCTGCATCAGGAAAATCACAAACCTGTCAAGCTTCAGTGCAAATCTTTTCATCCTTAACACCATTAATGTTTTCTGTGTAATAAGCTGCAGAACCACCGTTGTGCTCATCTGTATGTGACAAGGAGGTGGCTGTGTGTGTGAGGGTTTCCAAATGCTTCTCAAACCACATTAATTTTCCTTTTATTATTTTGCTGCTTTTTTTGCACACTATTTGCTTTATTTGTGTTTAACTTGTGCTGTCCTGAGCTCCCCATGTGCCACCTCTCTTCTGCATTCACGCATTTTATTTTACCAGCACAAACAATGCTAAATTCCTCTGCAGCAAGAATGATCTAGAAGTGATAAATACTTTAGCTAAGGAGCTTCCAGCAAAACACTCAATTTTTCCCCTAGCATTTTGCATCCAAGATAACTTTTTTTCTTTTTTCAAACTAATTGATGAAAATTAGATTTTTTTTTCCTTTCTTCTCAGTACCAGAATTAATGCCTGCTCATGCTGTCAACTGTCACAACATTGAATCCTTGCTCAGATCAAGGCTGTTTTTACATGCAAATAAAAAGTTTTCACTTCTTGGTATTACTGTTGTGCAATAAAAGCTGCAGGTTCCTCTCATGAAAATTTCAGAAGATAGTTTAAATCTTCAACTTTGAATTATAAACATAAAATAAAAGTCTAATAAGGTCACCCAGGGAATCTTGACTTTAAACATCATCAAGCATGGAAGTACCACAGTTAAAAACCTGTTCCACCTTCTGATCCCATGGTCAGCCTTAGTTTCATAACTCAGATGGTCCAACTCGTGTGTTGGAAGAGCAGCCAAGCCTTGGGCAGGGCTGGATTCAGTTAAAAAGTTAAAATAGCAGAGGACAACTGCCCAACTCCTCTGCTGTGACCCCATGGATTGTCACAGGGAGCAAATGTGGGAGCCAGCTAAGAAGAGAGAGGGAAGTGGAAGAGAAATTAGGAATGGATGGAAAGTCTCCACTGGTTCCTCAGCCAGTGACTCCTCTGGGGAGCCCAAAGGATGGGACCCAGCAGATGAGGAGAACCAGGCTCCCAGAAATGTCCACAGCCCTCTTAGAAACTGCAGGTGTCCTAAACATGAATTAGAGCTGGGGAATGGAAATTGTAAGAATATCCACACCAAAATTAACTTGAACACTCATCTCAAACCTGCAGTGATAAGGATTTTCTTAATTGCAGTGGATCTTACCAGACTGCAGGTGTTTTACCTGTTTAGCAGGACTTTTCCAAGTTCTTGTTCTTTCCAAGTGGGAAATGCAAGGACAAAGCCTGTAGTTTTACTGCTGCACATCTGTTTGTCAGCTTCAAACTCCAGGATTTCAGAGAGCTGATTGTGTTCAGTGGAGTCTGGGGAGGAGCACAAGTAATTCCCATGGACATGGGGGTGAGACATCAGAGTTTGGGGACTCTGTGGTGCCAGGAAGAGGCTTTGTCACCTTCCTGTGTCATGCCTGCCCAAGGCAGCCTGGTCCTTGTTTGGGGAATGGCTTGTCCTTGCATTTTCTCTCTCCTGAGTTACAGAGCTGGAGTTGTTTGCCCTGTGAGAAATCCTCTTGCTCTAGTCCAGCCTGCACTGGGCAGTGGCAGAGCCCAGCTTCCAGCTCCCATCCCAAGCAGGTGGAAACTCCCAAAGCACTCACCTGAGCTCAGGAAAGGTTCTTGTCTCATTATCTGGAGCACTGGCCACAGCAGCTGCAGGCAGGGCTGGGTTTATCTCTGATGCTTTTTTAACAGCAGTCCTGGATGCAGACACTAAAGTGGGATTTGCAGCACATCGTGACTCAAAGCTGCATTTATTCCAGAGGACCAAAGGCTATAAGTTTGATTCACAGCTGACTTCACTTTCTTCTCAAAGCCAAAAGGTGTGGAAAACTATTTCCAGCTGAGACTCTGATTTCACCCCAGCAGATAATTTAGCTTCAAACTTAAACCTGGACTTTCCTGAAGTGCCAGATCCCTGGCTGGTTTAGGACTTTTCCACATTAACTACGTTTGCAGTTTAAAAAATAATGTATCTTTTATTCATTTCACCTCCCAAGGAACTCAGTGAATACAAAAAAATGGGTCATAAACCCATGGTATTATAGCAGATAAAAGAGAAAACTAAAGGAGAAATTTTGGGAATTTTTGGTTGGGAAGGGCTTTGTGGGGTTGTGTGGCCCTCCCAAGGGCAATGCACCTCCCCAGGGGTCAGCCTGGTCCCTTTGTTCCCTGCCACTGCCTCTCCATGGCTGCAGCCCCTTGCCCTGGGAGCTCTCCAGTGCTCCTCCAGCCTTGCTCTGTGGGGTGAGTGAGCCCCAGGTGCTGCTTGGGCACTGCTGCCCTGGGAGGTTTGCTCAGCCCTGGCAGGAGGAGGATGTGATCCCCAGGGCTGGCCTTGGGGAGCCCCAGCCCTGTGGCCATGGGCCAAGGGATGAACTGGCTCCATCCTCCTGGCTGTGACACAGAACACAGCAGGGAAAGAGCACAGAGCTCATCCTGCTCTGGGACAGAGCTGCCCAAAGCTCCCAGTCTGCCTTGCCCTGTGCAGCAGGGTGAGTCTGGGAAGTGGATTGTGGTGAAAACAAAGCAGGAGGTGCTCACATGGACTGGGGGGTCACTCATGGCCAGAAGAGCCCCATCCCAGGGAGCCAGTTGGTGCCACCAGCCCCCTTCCTGTGCTCAGGGATGGGCCCTGAGAACCAGAGCAAAGGGTTGGTTTGTCTTTGATGTGCCAGTAACACATTTATTGTCTAATCTAGTCATTTCTCTTATTTAGCAAAAAAAAAATGAAGATGTCATGAAAAGGGGGCTGGTACAGCATTGCCACAGCCATGACAACTCTTCTGCAGAGACCAGAGGACACACAAGGACAAATAGCTGGGACACCTCTGGGACACGCTGGCTGTGGGGCTCTTTTCCCAGTGTAACTGAGTTACTTGCCTGGGAATCCCATAGGCCACAAGGACGTTTCTCAGTAACCAAATCTGTATTGATTGTCCCAGTCAATAGGAAATACCAGACTCTATAGCTAAAAAGATTTAAAGGCTTACATTAGATTTTCCTTTTGATTGATATCTAGGGTAATTTGCGGGAGTAAAAATGGAAAAGGTCCCCATCCCCTTCTGTCTCAGCTTGTGAGGAACAGTGAGTTCCTCTGGAGCTGCACAAGGCAGAATTGTTGGCTGTCAGCTCTGCTCCTGGTGCTGCACTGTCAGAGCACTGTGGTCACTTAGGGACTGTTGTCACATCAGTCACTGAACTGTGCAAATTCACCAGCAAAGTGATGGTAGGTAATTTAAGAAGATGGTGCACACCTTAGAGTCTAAGGCTGTGAGTTAAACAATACACTCTCCACAAACAAAACAAAGCCTAAAATTAGTCACAGAGTGCTGCAACACAACCTGCAGACTCAGATTTGAAAGGGCATGTTTCAGGCTTCTTTCACACCATTCCAGTAATGAATGTCTCAGCAGATGGTTTTTATCCTGATCTCCTGATGGATGGCAGTTCTTGGTAACCCTGCTGCAGAGAGCTCTCCCTTCCAGGGAAACTCTTAAGCACATGCATAATTCCAGGCGTGCACAGACTCCCCACTGGAGCTGAGTGTGTGCTTACAGCTGAGGATGTGCTTAAGAGCCTCCCTAAATGAGGGCCTTGATGTACAATTTAGAGGGAAGAATATATGCTGCTCAGTAGTCAAAGCAATCCAATTTACATAAATATTTATTTGTTTTCCATTATATATCATTTTTATGCAGGTGCTTGTGGGATGGATAGACGTCAGAACACATACATAATGGAAAAAAGCTTCAAAGGTATGGTATCCAGAGCTGCAGAACCCTGCCCAGGTGTGAGGAGGGTGTCCTAGAAGAGGTGAGATAGGAGCCTGGCAGGGAGGGACAGAGCCAGCACCCCCTGAGCTGCCTGCCTGGCTCCCAGCGCTCCTGGGCCATGGATGATGGATCCAAAGCTTCCCAGGGCCACGGGCTCTGCAGCACAGGGAGAAAGGGAGGGCTCAGCTCAGGGCAGGAGGGGCAGGAGGAGCTGCCCAGGGCACACTCAGGTAGGACCCACCAGCCACAGGGGCTCTGGGGGAGCTGCTGGTGGCACAGTGCTGCATTTCCCTGCTCTTGGCTCTGGCCATGCTGAGCTAAAGGAAAGCCCCAAGGAAAGAAGCTGCTCCTGCTCGTGCCCTCTGCTGAGAGGGATTTAGAGCAGAGCTGACAAGAGCCCTCCCTGAGGCTGAGGTCCCCTCATGCTGGCACCAGCACTTGTGGGCACTGACTCCAGGGCAGTTTAAACAGGATCTCAGATGAGTCACAAGCACAGGGCCCAGGGTTTTACATTTCACTTTGCTCCACGTTTACATTCTCAATATTCCAGTTCCATCTGGACCACAGGAACACTTGACACAGTGGTTCCCACAGCTCCTGGCAGATTGGGCTGGGGTTTAGCTCACTGAGCTTGTGCTCCAGAAGATGGAGCAAGGAATCTGTCTCCTGGGGAATAGGCAGCTTTCAGGCCCAGGTCCTGGATCTGAACTAGGCCTGGGAATGTCCCTCAGGGAGCCACGGAGGGAAACACCACCCAGCCTCTTCCTGCAGTGCCCTGGGGCTGCTGCCAGACCCCTGCTCTGCCATGGCTCAGGTGTTCCAGAGCCACACCTTGGGCTCGGCCAACAAGGAATATCAAAAGCTATTTCACATAAAAAGCATTAACCAGCTTATAGCCAGGCCTAGAGATCAAGATTCACTTTGTAGCTGCTGTTTTCAAAAGACAGGGATGCAATATTAGTAGAACATCACCTTACCACACAGAATCACCAAAGGAAACCAAGAACCAACAACCAAGTCTTTGTGGATAAAGCTAAAGTAAAAATATTGAATGGATTATGTATATATATGATATATATGATATATGATATACAAAATACTCAATCCACTGGTTTCAGCTACTTCAATGATTCCCTTTTTCAAAAGAAAAATCTTATTATAATAGAGCTAGTTGTTCCCTGTACATGGAGCTATTAACTTCCTCAGTTTAAACTAACTTACTGTGTTTACAAAGTTTAAAGGTACCTTAAGCACATGCAGAGGAACTCCCATCCATGGGCACAGTCACCCCAGAGGGACCAGTGGGGCAGAGAAAAAGAATCACAGTGACAGAGAACAGTGAAATGCATTTTCAGCTTCTACATAGTTCCCTTAATTTTTAGGATCTGAACCGTTTCCTTTACATGTTTATCTCTTTATAAATTGAAAAATCAGACTCAGAAGCCACAGCTGGAATTCTTTGTGGCTGCTCAGCTGCCTCAGGCAGGCAGGGCTGGCACTGGCAGGGACACAGGGGCACACCTGCCTTCCCAGGTACGTTTGGGAGCTCACCTGCAGGCACGTGGGAGCTGAGGGCTCTCAGAAGCAGCTGCCTTTGAGAAGCTGCCTTACCCTCTCAGAAGCAGGCTGCAGGTTCCCAAGGCCCCTCTGAAGGCCCATTCCTGGGCTCAGGCAGTGCCAGGGGAGTCTCCTCCCAGGAGGAGCTGGGAATGTGCCCAATGCTCAGGGTGAGCTCTCCTTGCCCTGCCAGGCCCTGACTCACCACATTCCTCAGAAAATGGAGAGGAAGAAATTCCCAGTCCCAAACAATTGGATTCTGTCAGCAAAAAGCCTTGGCAGGCAGGTGCCTGGTTTTTAGCTCCTTTCATCCAATTTAAAACCATGTCTTTTCCCACCAGTGTGGTCTACCTGGGGGCAGCCTGTCCTGCAGTTGGAAGTGGTCTCTGGACCAGACAGAGCCTTGCAGGGAGGGGCACAGGGGGCTTGAGGCTGAGGCCAGGCTGTGGAGAACCTGGGCAACCTCCTGCTGCCCCAGCTGTCTGAGGAGACCAGAGCTGGGGGCTGTGCCCAGAGCAGGGCACCAGCAGAGGGGTGTCCCCTGTGCAGCCTGGCACCAGCAGAGGGGTGTCCCCTGTGCAGCCTGGCACCAGCAAAGGGGTGTCCCCTGTGCAGTCTGGCACCAGGGCTGTGGTGGCTGAGCTGCTGTGGAGCTCCAGGGGTGGGCACAGATGTCTGGGGCTGCCAGGTGTCAAAGCCAGAGTGTGACAGCAGCAGAGAGGGGCTGGCTGTCCCAGTGCCAGCCCTGAGCCCTGTGGCACCTGGTGACAGGGGCTCACCAGGCACAGGGTTTTCAGAGCAGGTTTCTGAGCAGTTTCTTTCCTGTGCATGGTGCTCAGTGATGCCATTCCTGAGCTCTTCCTTTCAGCTGAGTCCTTCTGGTTTTAGGGGTTTGGTTTTTAAATGAATAGTGCTGCACTGATGGAATGAAGTGACCTCGGGCACAAGCATTTTAAGGAAAAACACCCATGCTTTGCAGAAGAGCCAGGAAAGCCCCAGCAGAGAGAAGCAGTGATCCCAGGGATGCAGGGCTGGGCTCAGAGAGGTTCCCCTGGCTGTTGTACAGGATGTGTCCCCACTCCTGTGGCTCTCTGAGAAGCAGCAAGGGGCCCTCCCTGTGTCCCTGTCCCTGCAGCACCAGGGCTGGCCAGGTTAGGGACAGCAGCCAGCACAGACACTTCATCCCAACAAGGGTTAAACAGGAGAGCACCTTCGACCAGGGCACAGCACCTCCCCTCAGCACTCCCACCTGGCTGGGGCATCCAAGGCTTGTCTGCAGCGTGCCAGGGAAAATTCAGGACACAAGAGAGGAACCCAGTCTGGGGGAGGGACGTTTCCAGTCCCTGCTAACAAAAATAAACCCTCCAAAGGTCTGGTGATTGGTATCCAGGCAACACAGAAGGCAGGGACTTCAAAATTAGAGCATATTCCCAATATTTCTCTGGAGTCCAGCTGATTGAGTGCTTCCAGTGAGCCCCAGCACTGTGGGGCAGAGCTTTCACCTCCATGAGAGCTGGACCCTGCAGCAGGGAGGGATGAGGAGTCAGCACAGCCAGGGCTCACACGTGGCTGCAGCACCGCGGGCTTAGAATCTCTAAATATGTTTGTTCTGCATAAATTAATTCATGAAACAAAATTTGACAATTGATGCCAGACTTCTTAATTATCCCCAAATTACCTTAATAACAAATAACTCTACAGCCTTCAGAGTTAAATCCTCCATGATCTTGCACATAATGTTTCTTGAGGGCTAATGACTCCCTGGTGTACCCAGAATCCCAAACATCCACTGGTGCTCCAGAAAATATATTGTGTCCCAAGCAAAGGTCTGGTCCCAGGCAGACACAGAGCTGTGTTTACGTCAGCAGGAATGGTCTCAGGCACGCTGTTTCTCAACATCTCCTGGGAAAAGGCAACTCCTGGGAGAGGCCAAACCAGTCTGGGCAGCCTGAGTGGCATTCACTGGTTCTTCCAACTGGTTCTGGGAAGGGAAGGGCTGAGGGACACCTGCCTGGGAGGCAATGTCAGCCCTAACTGCAGTACAGGTGGATTTTAGCTTAGGGAGATAAAAGTAGCTGAGCTGGATGAAATAAAACAGCTGATGTGCTGGGATTTTTGCCTTTGCCAGCTCCAGTGTGCCCAATTCAATAAACAAACCACACAGCTATTTACCTGCAGCTGCAGCTCTGCAGGAGGAGGAATTCTCACTCTGCTCTTTGCTGTAGCAGCCAGCAATCCTTTATAATCAACATTTCCTGAATCTACACCCAGCTCTGGTTTGATTTGCTCCCTCCCAGCCGTGGTGTGACAGGGAACACTTTGCAGGGAGCTGTTGGGGCACAAAGGGAATCCTGCTTTTCACCCTGTAAGCATCTGTTCAGCAGCACTGCTGGAAATAGAGAAGCAAATTGAAGATAATCTTCACATGCCTCACCCTAAAATGCAGAGCTGGCTCAGGCTGTCCTGAGGCTGTCCAGGCTCTCCTAACGAGCTCCATGTTCCTGGCGTAGCCACCAGGAGCTGTGAGCTGCTGGCAGGTGAAGATGAGCCTTTCATTTGTCTGTCTATGGCTTCCTCATCTCTAACAGCAACAGATCCCAGACTGGGACATCTGGATTTAAGTCACATCACAGCAAAAGCCAACACTGAGCTCACTCATGTGCAGAAGCCTTTGGTCTCACAGGGCTGCCCCATCTCTCTGTAGAAGGATGGGATGGGGCAGTTTCCCACTCACTTGTACTGGGCTGGGGTTGGTGACAGTGCAGGGACAAACCCTGCAGCCAAGAGCCTGGGAATGTCACTGTTGCTTTGGTTCCCATCTCCTGTCATGTACCAAACCTGGCATGTTTCACTTGGAAGCAAAGGCACTGCTCATCTCACCCAGGCTGATGCCAGACAAGGAGTTTCTAAGTTTTCTACCTAAATAAACACTGCACTGGTGCCAGGCCTCTGCCAGCCTCCCCATCCCTGATGGTCCCAGCTATTTGTGTGCAGTGGAGCTTCCCAGTGAGCTGCTTTCACTGACCCTGGGAGCTGAGGGCTCTCCAGACTTGTTGGTACCACTGAAATCAGAGCCCAGAAAGGCAACACCTGGCACCTCCCTCAGGGCTGACCCAGGACCAGGGGCACCAGGCCAGGGGTGATGGACACACAGACACACAGATACAGACACAACCCCAGAGCTGAAGGAGGGACAATCACTCACAGTGGAGCAAACCTGGCACATGAGGGAGCAGGACGGGGCTGGCAGGCTCAGAGCTGAGGTTTGGAGAAGTGATGTCATGTTGTCTGTCTATTTCTTAACCTGAATTTCTCTTTTTGTCTCCCATACTAGACAGCGGGGGCAGCTGGGATTGCAGCTATTTTGCAAGTCCCCCTATTTCACCGGGAGTATTTCATATATACCAGGATCTGCCTTTGTACTGTAACCCAGCACAAGAAAATGCCTCATCTTTCATTGCATCGCTCTAATTCTAAATTACTGGCACTGCCCAGCAGGATGCACACAGCAGCAATGGCACGTTCTTGAATGTCAATGTTAAGACCTATTTATTCTCTATTGTTTTTTATTTTTAAAGCAAGACTGGCACTGTACCTTGCAGCAGGCTGCTCTATCCCAGCCAGGTCACCAAGCGGGCAGCTCTCATGCCAACCTTGTTCTCCCCAAGTAGTGCCTCTGTCACCTCCTCTCCAGCTCAGGGGAGAGGAGCAGGAGATGTCTACAGCAAAGGGGGGAAAAAGCAGAGCAAAAGTGAGGCTCAGATGGACGCTTGTCCTCCTCTGTGGAAACCCAAGCATTCCCCAATTGTAGGATGCTGGATAACCCCAAAACTGGCTGGGGCTGCACATGCAGAGGCTGCACTGGTGCAGTTCAGAGCCTGTGGCAGCATCGTGCACTCCAGCACAGGGCCCTGGCTGTGCCCAAGGCCCCGGGACTCACCCTCAGCTGGCTGAGCAGCCCAGGGCCCAGCAGCAGCCCCTGCCTGCAGAGCCGACTGCCCTGGGCCTGCGGGGCAGAGCAGGATGAACACGGCTCCACAGGAATGAGGGGGAGGGAGGGAAAGGATTGCCACCTCAAATTAAATATTGCAGTAAACGGCAGCTAGGACCTCTCACAGGAAAACCTTCAGTACTGAGCAGGTTTTCATTTCTTTCCTGCTAGTGAGTGGTGGATGCAATGGTTTGGAACACCCAGAGCACAAGCACCGGGTGTCTGTGCTGGAGGCTTCAAGAATCTTCCTTATCCCCTGCCCCCCTGTCCCCCCCAGCCTTCCTGCAGAGGCTCAGTTGTAATTAACCTAATTAAGCTAATGATCCTAATGCACCCACTCTGCTCTTGTTTTGCAGATTATATGAAAGAATCTGTGTGCAGCTCCAGCACTTGTTCCCTGAACAGCAGTGAAAACCCATATGCCACCATTAAAGACCCCCCCATTTTAACCTGCAAACACTCCGAGAGCAGCTACGTGGAAATGAAATCACCTGGTCACAGGGAGTCCCCGTATTCTGAAATGCCAACTTCATCAACAGCCAATAAAAACATCTACGAAGTTGGTAAGCAGTGGGTGGCACAGGGGGGTTGGTGCAGAGGCTGGTTTCCCCTCTCCTGGCACACAGATCTGGGCTTGGTGTGGCGTAGGGATGAACTGGCAGGGGGAAGGCCTGAGCGTTGGTGGGCTGGTTTAGTGAGCTGAGCCACAGTGGTGGATGTCCTGGGCTGGAAGGGACCCCCAAGGATCAGGAGTTTTGGGACTGCTGCTGGTGACCACACCCCAGTTCTCCTTGCTCCCCCAGAGCCCACTGTCAGCATAGTCCAAGACGCCCGCAGCCGGAGTGCCAGCTACCTTCAGAGCCCCTATGACCTGCCCAGGAACAGTCACATTCCCGGGCACTACGACCTGCTGCCCGTCCGGCACAGCCCCACGCACGGGCCTTCCTGGGACAAGCAGTCCTAGAGGATGGACTTCACTGGGCACTGTGCTGCCAACACAGACTGTGAGGAAGCAGAGGAGAAGCCATTCCTTCCTTTCCTGCGGACTGGCAAGGACTTTACGGGACATCAGCTTGGGCCAACTGCTGCTGCTGCATGATGTTATTTATAAAGACATTTTTGTATGGGTACCTGGAACTAATGAGAGCCTCCTCCACGTGGGACTGGAGCACATCACCCCAGGAAGGTGTCTTCATGCTCCAGGCAAAAACTCTCTGTGGCGTGTTCTAACCCTGGCTTTGCTGTAAAATAAACCACAAAAACATGCTACGTAGAAGGACTTCAGGCTGTACATTTCTACTGACTGCAGCAAGAAACCTTTTACTGTTAGGAACAAGGTGACTAGGAATACGCTGGAATTCATTTTCATCTTTGTCATGGGAATGGACATTTTTCTGAATGAGAGCAGGGAAACTTGTCATTTCACTTTCTGGAAAGCTCATTTACTGCCATCACCATGTGCAACCTGTGCAGATCATGCTTGGTAATTAGCATTGAGATTGTCATCTCTATATTCAGTACCAGAGAATTTGAGTTGAGGAATATTAATACAGACACTTTCTGTACAGTTTTTAATATCTTTCCAAACATCCCCTGATCTTTGCTAAAAAATGGAGTTTCCACAATGAGTCTCACACTCACCACACTTTTAATGTTGATTGGCACAGGTAGGCTTTGATTTTCCTTATGCAGCTTCTCTTTTGGTAGATAAATCCAGCAGATCTGTCAGGCAATTTAATCTGCTGCCCCTCCAATTCCTGCCCTGGGACGCTGCAGGTTTGCACAGACCAGCCCTGGTTTCATTTCCTTTCTCAAAGCTGAGCCACATCGGCTTCTCTCTCCCATCTTCCCAAACCATCTCCTCATGATTCACTTTCGGCATGCCACTGATGACACCTCTTAATCTGATATGCATTACCATGTAGTGCAACTTTATCCATTGATGATTCTACCTGAAATGTCATTAAATGGAGCTGGAACTGGGTTTTCTTTTTCAGCAGCTGTTTGTGAAGTAATTATCAAGGGTCTGACCCATGGTAAAATTTTGGACTGAGCCACCATGATATTTTTTTTAATTTATAATCTCCATTGACCTAGAAAGTAGAGTACTTGCCGTTAGTTCCTTGTAGATTTTGAGCATGAAGTAGTATTGACTCTAAGTATGTAATTTTATTAGGCAAACGTGGAAGTAGCAAGTTGATTGCCTTTAAAATATAAAAAATAATCTGTTGCACATTCGCCAGTCTGATGGAAGCAGAAGAGGACGACAACAGCCCCGTGGGTTTGCTCACAGCACGATCCCAGGAGTGACCTGCAGGCTCAGGACTGGCAAGAGGAGCCCTCCAGCTCGGGGGCAGCAGCTGGATCCCAGCCCTGGGAATACTCCTGGATCCTTGGAGCACTGTGGTGGGATCCAGCTGTGTCCCCACGCATGGGCTCAGCCCCCATGCCTGGGATCACAGCCCCTGGCTCTGGGCATTCTGCCCCTGGGAGCCTTTCCCCTTTCCCCTGGGAGCCAGCACTCTCCAGGTGGTCAGGCTGGCTCTGAACCCCCAGCCTGAGCCTGGACACCCCCAGGACACCCCCAGGCTCCTGCAGGATCCTGCCCATGAGGTTTCCCGAATGCTGCATTTGTGCATGGGGGCCGTGGCTGATCAGCAATAGCAATTTTGTTTTCCAGGAAAGCCTTATTTGAGATGTAAGAAAACAATTATTTTGTAGGCCCAGCAGGAATATATTTTGCATACATGAATAGAAAGTTTTACCTCAAAAATATCAAGAGAAAGGCAGTTGGATAAGGAATACTCTTGTTAGGACCCACCTTGGCACCCAGCACAAGCAGCCTGAGCTGCTGGCCTGACCCACGTTTGTGTGTTGCTGTAGTTTGCAATGAGACTCCAGAGAGCAGAGATGTGCTCAGTTGTTTGGTTTGGTTTTTTTTCAAAGCAGGATTTTGAAACCAAATGCAATGATGTGCATAGAGCTTAACAGGAAAAGAAAAAAAACAACAAAACCAACAAAAAAAAAGTACCTTCTTGTATAGCAGCATTAGCTTAGGAAACAGGCACCAAAATGGCAATACTTTTTTAAGGCAAGACAGATTTGTAATATATTTGTTCACTGTGCAAAGGTATCCTACCTTGTACAAAATAAATTGAATTTCTGTCAATGCGTAGTTCTCCAACGTACTCATTTGCAGAGCCAAACTTCCAGCCCTGCACAGATCCAAGCTCTCCAGGTGATGTGGCTGCTTCCCTCAGCCAAAACCCCCAGGCACCAGGCTAGGACACAACTGGCAGGATGGCTCAGAAAACCCAGTGCTGCCATTCCAAGCTGGAGTAAAGCAAAGGTAAGCGGCTCTGCATATCCTTCTTCCAGCTCCTCAGCAGGGTGAGCTCAGTGAGACTCCTGGGAATGCTCAGTCCCAGCTGGAAGAGGCCCTGCACACCCACCAGGTGTGGTGACACTGCCCTGGGCCACTCGCAGGTGCCCAGGCCTTGGGTGGACACTGGGGAGCACGGTCACCCCGCAGCAATGGGACAGGACACGAGGCAGCCCAGCAGCTCCCAGGGAGCCCAGTGAATAAACCACAGAAACACCTTCAGAATTAATGAGTCCCAGGCAATGCAGCCACTGCTACGTGCTGAAGCTTTTCAATATTTGTGCTTCATATTTCTAAAAATCTTGTTAACTAAAGCCCAGCGTGTAATCTTCTTATTTGACAAGGCACACTCAATAAGCTATTTGAGGCTGGAAATTCATCAGGTCTGAATTTATAGAATAAGTAATTCTAGCTTAATAAAAATGTCTTTAAATCAGAACAATTCCATGTTTTTTCTGCTTTAGAGTCAGAACCTCAACTCCCATCAAAGACAGGAACCACTGACGCTTGCTGAATAATTGTTAAAAGTTGGGGCTTTCGAGTACGTAGATGACAGCAAAAACTTTTGGCAAGCAAAGCCCATTTTGAAGCATTATATGGAATTCCCAGAATCTCAGAAAGCTCCTTCCAGGGCCCAAAGCAGTGTCTGTTACCATCAGTTGTCTCCCATTAGCAGGGAGGAGACACTTCAGTACACAAGTAGTGCCAATTATGGAACAGAAGGATTAATCAGCAGCTGAACAGGACAATCCCCCACTGGAAAGCATTCAGATGGAATAATGACTTGCATTGTCTCTCCCAAAACACCCCTGGAAGCACCTTCCTGTGCCAGGAGTATGACCCAGCCCAGGCCAGGATCTGCAGCCAGGTCCCTGCAATCCTTAGGGAAACACAGCACAGACCCCCAGAACAGCAGGCAAAGGATTTCCCAGGTGAGAAGTTCCTTTTCTGTACACACCCCACTGGATTTTGCTTTAGAAGTCCTCAGCCTCCCACAGTGGTTTGTGCTCCCACCATCTGCACTGCAATTCCATCTGCTGCAGGAGGCAGAGTTTTGCCTAAAACCACACAAAATCCAGACTGATGTGACAGCAGAGTCAAATCACCTGCTTATAGGAATGAGAAAAGGAAGCAGAGTGAAACTCATCCTGCATTTCCAGCTGACAAATTTAGAATGTGGCTGCCAAGGGAAATCAATTAATTCCAAAATCTGCTCCAGTATGGGCAGAGGATGTGCTGCAAGAACATTTCCTGCAGTGAGTGAGGGCCTGGGCTCACAGCTCACCCTCAGAGCAGAACCCAGGGCCACCAGTGCTGCCCCATTGGTGTCCATGGTCACAGCACCCTGTTCAGGAGAGATCCCACCTTTCATCAGGACACCAGGCAGGATCCAAAGCTTCCATCATCTGCTGCAGGAGGCAGGAGTTCGTCTCCCACCAGATTTTCTTCCTCGCGGCAACATGGGGAGAAAAAACAGGTTTGTAAAAGTTATTCAGAGGTTTGAGAAAAGTGAACCCACAGAATTTTCTAAGCTTCAAAGCTTCCTGAAGCTGCCCAAGTGCCCTGGCTACAAACTGCAGCAGCCCCAGGAAGCTCAGAGCTGCTCTCAGGGAAGGCAACTGTGCTACACAACCTTTTCAGCTCCTTTTCCAGGGACACTTCCACTTCAGTATCTTCTCACTGCCTCTTCCAAGAAGCTCATAAGGTAAAACCTTCAGGTCAAATCCCAATTCTCCCAAGAAGTGCACCCAACACCACAGTGAGTTGTCCCCTGTAATTCTTTATTAGAATCATGGATGAATATATTTTAAATCAATCTAAAAAAATAATGAATCAAAGTACAGTACATGCATAAAATACAAAGTAATTTACAAACAGATCAAAATAGCATCTTCAGAACTAATACCAGGAGGAGAAATGGAGTAAAAAACAAGAAGTGACCAACTACAGCAATGCCTTCCGTGTGCCTCACACATCATGAGCACCGCGAGACAGAAAGGTTGGGAACAGAACACAGCTGGAAGTGCCAATCACATCTGGATCTTCCAAGTGGGTCATATCAGAGTTTGAGAAACGTCCCCTACAATCAATGACTTCCCTGTAATTGTATAAATAACTGCAGGCATTTGCACAACAGGGAGTTCCTTTACATCCTGTGGGAATGCAGTGGCTGTGGCCCCCAGTGCCAGTGTCAGGCATGCTCAGGAACAGCACAGAGCGAGTGACAGAAGGCACAGTTCATGTATCCCTGAACAGGCAGATTGGACAGGATTGGCATGGAGCAACAGACCACAGGAGGAACACATCCAGACAGAAAACTCCAGAGGGTTTTGTAGAAGAACATACAGCAAACCACCGGAATAATTTAAAAATACTGGATCAACCAGAACTGAAAACTAAGGCCAGGTAGTGGAAGTTATTTATTCATCAACTCAAGCACTTGTATATATTAATATATGTGGCATGCATTAATAGATGTGATATGTAATACGTGCCAACACCCTCCAAGTCTGCGTCCCATCAAAGAAAAAAAAGGCATCCTCAAATGCTGATACCACCAGCACTGTGGAGGCCAAGCCTCCAGCAGCACAAAGATGCTGCAAGTTCCAGAGCTGGAGTGACCATTCCTCACGGACGTGGCTCCTGCATTCACTTCCTCCACAAGGGGCACCTCCGTGGGGTCCCAGCAGCTCTGCCTCACATCAACCTCCTCTGCAGCAGGTGCCAAACCACAGCACCTCACTCACGTGTAGCCAGA